CGCTATTGTATGGGCATTGAGCAACAAGATGATCTTTGCTTCCACAATTGAAGCACTTTTTTGACTCTTCCTTGTTCTTGGATGAAGACTTCTTTCTTCTAGCATGGTAGCCCTTCTTCATCATGAACTTGCCAAATCTCTTGACAAAGAGAGCCATCTTCTCATCATCCATCTCATCAAAGCTCAAGTCTTCATCTTCACTTGATGTATCTTGCTTTGCCTTGCCCTTGTATGATGTGGCCTTGAATGCCACACTCTTCTTCTTCTCATCTTTCTTCTCCTTCTTTTCTTCCTTCTCATCATCATCTCTATATGTATCATCGGTCATTATATCTCCCAACACTTGGTTTGGTGTTATGGTGTCCAAACCACTCCTCACTAGAATAGTAATCAATGTGCCAAATCTTGAGGGTAAGCATCTCAAGAACTTATGTGAGAAGTCCTTGTCCTCCGCATTCTCACCAAGTGCTTTGAGATCATTGACAAGCACTTTAACCTATGGAACATCTCCAGCATACTCTCATCCTCCTTCATCTTGAAACTAGCAAACTTCTCCTTGATGATATATGCCTTGGCACCCTTCATGGCTTGAGTGCCCTCAAATGATTCCTCGAACTTCTTCCATGCTTTATGAGCCATCTCAATGTTCTTGATTTGCTCAAATGTTCTCTCATTAATAGCATCATGAATGGCACTAAGAGCAATGTCATTGTTTTGGAGAAGCACTTCTTCGGCCGCGGTGGGGTTCTCCGGATCCTCTATCTCAATCTTGGTCTCCACCACCTTCCAAACTTTCCTATTGATTGACTTGATATATGTTGTCATCTTAGCCTTTCAATAGGGATAGTTTGAGCCATCAAATTGGGGTGGCTTCTTGGTGTTGTTGATTTGAGCCATTTTTACACCGAAGGTTGTTAAGCCTCAAATCACGGTGACCATGGCTCCGATACCACTTGAAAGGTCCTAATGGCTAGAGGGCGGTGAATAGCCTATTCAAAATTTCTACAACAACACTTAGCAAACCGGTTAGACAAATATGAGGCGAAACGAGTGTTGCGCTAGCCTACTAAAAATGCAAGCCACCTACCACAATTCTAGTTTATGTAGTCTCTATCCACACAATGGCTATGCCACTACACTAAGTTAGTGTGCTCTCAAAGGCTAACTAAAGAGCCACACTAACTAAACTAACAAGCTCTCACGACTAGCTATACTAAAGAGCTTGACAACTAGTTTGCGGTAATGTAAAGAGACAGAGAGCAAGATGGTTATACCGTCGAATCGAGGAATGAACCAATCAATCACTAGAATGAATATCAATGAAGACCAATCACCTCGGAATCAAATGATGACACAATGATTTTTTACCGAGGTTCACTTGCTTGCCGGCAAGCTAGTCCTCGTTGTGGCGATTCACTCACTTGGAGGTTCACGCGCTAATTGGCATCACACACCAAACCCTCAATAGGGTGCCACACAACCAACACAAGATGAGGATCACACAAGCCACGAGCAATTTACTAGAGTACCTTTTGGCTCTCCGCCGGAGAAAGGTCAAGAACCCCTCACAATCACCACGATCGGAGCCGGAGACAATCACCAACCTCCACTCGACAATCCTCGCTGCTCTAAGTCGTCTAGGTGGCGGCAACCACCAAGAGTAACAAGCCAAACCCACAGCGAAACACGAATACCAAGTGCCGCTAGATGCAAACACTCAAGCAATGCACTTGAATTCTCTTCCAATCTCACAAAGATGGTGAATCAATGGTGGAAAGGAGTGGGAGGGCTTTGGCTAAGCTCACAAGGTTGCTATGTCAATGCAAATGGCCAAGAGAGTGAGCTAGAGCTGGCCAAACGGTATTTATAGACACCCCTAAACAATAGAGCCGTTAGCTCAATTATTGGGCTGACTGCGGGACAACCAGACACGCAGGTCGTGTGCACCAGACATGTCTGGTCATTGCGTCTGGTCACAGCCTAACCGCCACGTGTCCTAGCCATTTGAAACTATCTATTGTCGCGTAATGGCTCACTCGCGTGCGCTCACTGACCATCGACCGAATGCTCCTGTTCAATTGACCGGACACACCACGCGTCAGAGTTTGATCGTTTTCAGAGAGCTCCCAGAGAGGTAAAATTGCGACCGGACGCATCCGGTCACGCCCGACCAAACTCGACTAGCGTCTAAATGCGTATGCGTATGCAATGAGTTAGAGCATCCTAAATGCGTATGCAATGCGTATGCAGATTTTCACAAATATTTTCAAGGGTGTTAGCTTTCCACTAGATCCTAAATGCGTATGCAATGAGTTAGAGCATCTAGTGGCACTTTGATAACCGCATTTCGATGAGTTTCACCCCTCTTAATAGTACGACTATCGATCCTAAATGTTATCACACTCACTAAGTGTCTCGATCACCAAAACGAAAAAGCTCGTATCAAGTTTCACCTTTGCCATAAGCTTTTTGTTTTTCTCTTTCTTCTTTTCCAAGTCCAAGCATTTGATCATCACCATGCCATCACCATTATCATGATCTTCACCATTGCTTCATCACTTGGAGTAGTGCTACCTATCTCATAATCACTTTGATAAACTAGGTTAGCACTTAGGATTTCATCAATTCACCAAAACCAAACTAGAGCTTTCACCAGATCAGAAACCCAGAGTCTAAGCTCACTACTCGCTCTAACTCCCAACTAGACTAGCACTACTACATCTTCAGAGAGTGGAGAGGCTCCTTCCTTGTGGTGTCTTAAGAGTGAGGGTTTAGGGGGTATTTATAGGTGGAGGTGGAGTAGGGTCTACTCCGATGCCACGTCATCGATCCGTGTGACCTCCATCAAGCACCATTTCATCAAAGCACCATTGAATCAAAGATTGAGATCATGGGAGTGCATGGAGGCATGCACTAAGGTGGTGGGTGCAAGCTGGACGTCGGGAGCCACCACCTCCCTATGACAGGTGGGACATGTCTCCCCCTTCTAGAAGGTTAGCCCACTGCCATAGTGTGTGGTTGGCCACCTTGGGTACGTTAGATCCTTCGTTGTGGGCCCATGAATCCGTGGGACTTCATCTTCCACCCTTGAGAGAAAACACATGTGTGATCCAAGGGTGGGGAATCGCTCTGGGGTGCTTGTCCAGGATCCTAGCTAACTTGCAATTACTGATAGGGTCCATGGGGAGGTCGCACGACCTCTATATGGAGCCAAATCAGCCCATCTTCTGTAGGTGGCTTCCAGAAGCATTGCTCATCAGTCATCACAATGGTGGAGTTGGTTTGTCCATGTGCCATACTTGGGTGGTCAGGAGACGTGTTAAGTTGGGCCCCCAAGCTTGGTTTTTTCGTCCATTTTGTACCTGCATATAAATAGAGGACATGTACATGTGGAACCAAGTTATTTGAACCAAAATCATTCATGGTTGGCTTATGTCCTTTCATATGTCACATATTTATGATGTTTTTGACCAACCAGAATGTTGACGAAATCATCCTCAACAAAATCCCCCACACTTAAGTCTTTGCTCGTCCTCAAGTAAAGGTGAAAGATAAAAGCAAACATGAGCATAACACCTTAAGATATATAGCTAATATAAAAGTCATTTCAAAACTTTCCTTAAACAGGTGCGATATGTGGCACTAGCTAACATATATTCTTTAGTGGTTGAAAAGTGGAACAGTTCTCGAAGCAAAGTCATCTTCCCATATTCACCTCTTAGTATCTTGGAGTTTTTCAAAGTTTTCACAAGAAAATGCATAGTTCTATACTCCTCAAATGGTACTCTCATGTCGCTCGATAGTGTATGATTCCTTACCGAGGCATAGCATTGTTTTGCCTTCTTTTATTTCATCCTACTTCTAAAAGGTTTATGTGGAGCTCGAGTAGGGATAAACATGATAGCATACTTGCATCGTATATATTGTAAAGTCAAAATAAGGATCCAAGGAGAAAAGTGTCATAATCCTAGATCATCATGTGCATGTGTTGGAGCATGGTGATAAATTTTATTGAACTCCTTAGCAAGTATGATCTCTCTAACTTATGATTATTTTGAGACATGGCTATCTTTTCTTTTTTTCACTTTTTTTTGAATGCATGAGCTTTCTTTTGCTCATTCATCTTTTTTTCTTCTCTAACTTATGAGGGCAGTTGGTACTAGTAGCCCAATCGTTTCTCAAAAAAAACTAGTAGCCCAATCCAAGCAGAGATTTGTCGCTAAAATTAACGATTGTTCTACGACCAAAACAGTCATCTAAGGACAACAAGACATGAATTGTGAGGCACTCTTTTGAGTGTCCTTTTATCGAAAAAAACAGCCGCCGAAGGTGAAACTAACAATGTTAAGTAAACCTAATATTAGCAATCCAAGAAAGAAGGTCATTCCAAACTGTTAATTGAGGTCAATCAAACGACGTCAATTTGAAATGTTTAGAGGAGATCTACTAAAGAGCTCAGTTGCGATATGTTGCTTGCATTGTATGTAATGTAACCATGATGTATAAGCAAGCATAGTGTTTCCTCAAAGGGAGAGTGTCCTAACTACTTGTCGTCAGAATCTAATGGACCGTTTCAGGTAGAACAGAACAGCCTGTTTCAAAAATCGGAGTATTTTGGCCAGGATCCAAAGCTGGTCTGGCCGCTGCCGAATGAACCCTTAGGGACATAACATTGATCGTGAAGGATCCAAAATGGGAAAAAGTATTGTTTCACCTTCATACGACTGCTCTTTTAGAAATATGAATCCGTGTTACTTTTCCAAAGAGCCTAAGATAGAGTGTTAGAGTTTAAATACTTCTTCCGAATTAATTAATTGGTAGTAACTTGAAAAGCCATTTACCAAAAAGCACAGCCGATGCATCAAATAGATGAACAATACGCATGTGCTAGCCTGGAATTGTTGGACTAAAATGATATAATGGATGCAGTGCTTATATTACACAGACACGGTGCTGCCACCACTCGTCTAGTAGCACTTGGGTAGCCAAAACCAAGGCAGCTAAACTGTCTCGTGGGCCGTGTCTGGGCTGTGGGACGCCGACGTCGCCGCGGCGCAGGTGGCGGCGGCGCCGAGCCAGCGCGCGAAGGCGTCGAGCGTGCCGGCGTCGGCGCGGTAGTGGCGCTGCGTGAAGCGCGCCAGGTCTGCCCAGGTGAAGTCCGGGTACCGCCGCGGCTGCTCCTGCTCGCGTGCGGCAACGGCAAGAAGGCACGGCGGCGGGAGCACCACGTGGCCCTCGCGGGGGCAGAGGAAGAAGACCAGCGACCGGCGCTCCCGCTCCCGGTGCACCACCGCGCGGTGGAGGCAGCTCCGGTACAGCCCGTTCGACAGCGTCTGCACGCACCACACGCAAAGACTGCAAGAGATGGATGCCAGAACACAACGCAACGAAAGGAAAATAGCTGGGAGCCCAGGAGGGCGACGTGCAGACTGAACGCACGGACTGGCGCACTGCGCTGCTAGTAGGGCGGACTGTCGAGATGCGGCTGCTTCGTCTTGGTCACAGTGCCAGACAGGACAGGAAGACGACGACGTCAGATATCGGGGCAGCGTGGCTACTGCCGGCCACCACCGCTTGCGTCCAGCGTGCTTGTTCGGCTACGATAGAACTACTACCGTCCAAAATGGACAAGCGTCCAATGGAGGCAAAAGAGGAAGGACTCTCTAGCCATTTTCAATGCGCCGATGGAGGACATGGATCGTGAAAGATATGACTAACAGCACCACCTGGGAGTTTTGGGCGTAGGTTCGCACTAAACTTTTGACGGCCGTGATGATGCCACTTGAAGTATAGTGTATACATGGATAGATGATCTAAGACTATATATCTAGAGGTTTCATGTGAAATGAGACCGTTGACTTAGATGTACTATAAACTCTTGCTTCTAATTCTGTTTTTACAAGGCATTTCAAAGAGACGAGTAACACCACCATCTAGGAGTTTTGGGCGTAGGTTCGCACTAAACTTTCGGCGGCCGTGATGCCACTTGAAGTGCAATCTATACACGGGGAGGTGATCTAATACTATATCTAGAGGTTTCATGTAAAATGAGACCGCTGGTTTACAAGGCATTTCAAGTCTGTCAAAATCAAACTTTAGAATCTTTGACTAATAGTTTTTAATTATTGTAATATAAACCTGATAACATTAGATTTATAACCAAATGTACTATCCAATAACCATAAAAGATAGTACCACCGTGCGTCTTGTTCCTAGTTGGTTGAGAGAGACGGGTACATGTGCTATTCGACTAATGATCGAAGAGTTGTTTCCAATATATGGGCACATATAATACTTTCTTCATTCCAAATTAAAGATATTTTGACTTATCTAGATATATAGCTTTTGCTAGCTATGTATATAGTAAAAACAATGTATCTAGAAAAGGCAAAATATTTTATAATTTGGAATGGAGGGACTAGTTAGGATCTATTTGTATTAGATTTTTGGATTCTAGACATAGGTTGTAGGTGACCATTGTCCTTAAATAGTAAGGTGGAAGTGGATAGTTGGATTCTCATAATTCGATGGTTGGATTATAAAAAAACCCTCTACAATCTGGCTACTAATTTAAATTTTATTCTCGTGCTTGGAAGATCCATATATGGCCTCAGTATGGCTAGATTTTAACCAGATTAACACAATCAAAGATCGCCTTATTTTCTCCCTTAATGAACTGCACAACAGCTACTTTCTCCAGCTTCCTATCCTTTGTTTTTTTAAACACTTGGGATGGTTGTCTCAAGCGAGTGATAACCTGCAATTTGCTAGAAAGTGAGCCAGTAGAACTGAACGCCGACAGCGCCACTACGTGACACATGGAGACACTGCCACGGCTCATACACATGCATGCATCGGTTTCGCAAAATCATGCCAGCACTGAGGCAAATACGTTGTCTGGAGCGAGATCGACCTGCTGCGTTCCAACACGTTCGCGATCGACGTCGTACCGCATGCCTGTTTCGCGAATATACACCTTATAAAAGAAAACCTAACATACCATGAATGTGTCCCCGATGCTGACGACGAGCGCGCCAGTCCTCGGCCGCACGGCCCGCCACTCGCCGTCGACGAGCACCTGGAACCTGTCTACGTCGCCGTCCTGCAGCAGGACGGTGAGCGCCGACGGGTCACAGTGAGGCCCCGTCCCCACGTCCGCTCCGGCTCCGGACACGGTGGGTAGTAATTGCACCTCATGATGGAGCTCATATGCCGGCCAGGTGATGGGATGGTGAATCGCCAGGTGATGGGGTTGGTCTGAAGCTCTTATGCCGGTAGATGAGTTTATCGAGCATAGAACTGACATCCTTCACACCTGCGGACAACCTCATCTGCATCTCGCAGCGCGGTGGGCCAGTAAAAACCTTGGCGAAAGGCTTTCCTGACCAGCGACCTCGGGGCCGCGTGGTGTCCGCAGATTCCGGCATGGACATCGAGGAGGAGCTGTTTCCCTTGTCGGTCGGGATGCACTTCATAAGTACTCCCGACGGACTTCGCTTGTAAAGTTTGTCACCGAGGACGACGAACGTCTTGAAGCATCGAGCAATTCGTCGCGCTTCAGTCCTTTCCGGAGGAAGAACCTCCTTGAGGAGGTAGGCGAGTAGTGGTGCTCTCCAGTCAGCCTGATCGAGTGCCACCACAGCGACGTCGGCGGGCGACGTTGTCATGGAGGCACCAAGGTCGGAGTCCCCGAGCACTTGGTCGGGGTCGGGACACGTCGGGAGGTCGGAGCTCCTGGGTGCCTGATTGGTGTCGGAGTGTGTCTGGATCGAATACTCCAAAACGCGGGCAGACAGCTCGTGGAGATCGTTGATGAAGACCCTGTCTGAAGACGGAACCCGCCTGGCAGCCAATTTGACGAGGAAATCGGCGGCATCATTGTCCTTTCGGGGGACATGATGCAGTTCGATCCCTTGGAACTTGTCCCCGAGCTTCCGCACCTCCTGTCAGTATGCTGCCATGAGAAGGCTCTTGCAGGAGGACTCCTTCATGACTTGGTCAACGACCAGCTCTGAGTCACCGCGGACGTACAGCCGCGTAGCGCCGAGCTCGATGGCGATGCGTAGTCCGTTGATGAGGGCCTCGTATTCCGTGGCGTTGTTTGAGACCAAAAAATGGAGACGGATTGCGTAGCGGAGCCTGCTCCCATCCGGGGAGATCAGAACCACTCCAGCCCCCGAGCCGGGCGCCATCACCGACCCATCGAAGTACATTGTCTAGTACTTGTGGGTGACGTCTGGGGTCGGGAGCTGGACCTCCGTCCATTCGGCGATGAAGTCGGTGAGAGCCTGAGACTTGATAGCGGTGCGAGGGATATACCTGATGTCGTGACCCATGAGCTCGAGGGCCCACTTGGAGATTCGTCCCACGGCGTCACGGTTGCGGTTGATGTCTTCCAGTGGGTACGAGGTGACGACCATGACCTCGTGGTTGGTGAAGTAGTGCAGGAGCTTCCGGGTCACCATCACCACGGCGTACATAAGCTTCTACACCTGGGGGTATCGAGCTTTGGCGTCTGTGAGTACCTCACCGACGAAGTACGCCGGTCGTTGAACATTCAGGGGGCGTCCCGGCTCCTCCCTTTTGACGACGAGGGTGGCACTTATAACATGATTGTTTGCCGTGATGTAGAGGAGGGGTTCTCCCCGTTTGGGAGCGACGAGGGCTGAGGCTGACGTCAGTGCTGCTTTGAGGCTTTCCAAGGCCCATTGTTACTCTTCTGTCCAGACGAATACGTCTGTCTTCTTGAGAAGTTTGTAGAGAGGCATCCCCCGCTTGCCGAGTCGGGAGATGAACCGGCTCAGGGCGGGCAAACAGCCGGTGAGCCTCTATACACCCTTGACGTTGCGTATAGGGCCCATGTTGGAGATGGCAGTGATATTTTCGGGGTTGGCTTCAATGCCGCGTTTGGACAAGTTGTATCCGAGCAACTTCCCCTTCGGAACCCTGAAAACACATTTTTTGGGATTCAATTTGACGCTGAACCTTCGGAGGTTTGCGAATGTTGTGGCCAAGTTTGCGATCAGGTCGCTAGTTTGAGCCATTTTCACCACTATGTCATCTATATAGACGGTGATTGTTGGCTTCGGCCGCTCGACTTGGTCAAGCTGGTCGGGTGGGTCGATTTGGTCGCCGAAGCATCGCTGCATGCACCATTGATAGGTGGCGCCAGCGTTCTTCAGACCGAAAGGCATGGTTATGTAGCAGTACGAACCATACGGGGTGATGAATGAAGTCGTGAGCTGGTCGGACTCTTTCATCGCGATCTGGTGATAACCTGAGTAGGCATCCAGAAAGGAGAGGATGTCGCATCCTGAGGTAGAGTCGACTATCTGGTCAATGCGTGGCAAAGGAAAATGGTCCTTTGGACATGCCTTGTTGAGGCCAGTATAATCAACACACATCCTCTATTTCCCAGTCTTCTTTTTCACAAGAATAGGATTAGCTAGCCAGTTAGAGTGGTATACCTCTTTGATGAATCCGACTGCCAGGAGTTTGGTGATCTCCTCACCTACGGCCCTGTGCCTCTCATCGTCAAAGCAATGCAGGCATTGCTTGGCGGGCTTTGAGCCTGGGACGAGGCGTAATGCGTGCTCGGTGAGCTCCCTTGGTATGCCTGGCATGTCAGAAGGTTTCCATGCGAAGACATCGCGATTGGCGCGTAGGAAGTCGGCGAGTTCGCTCTCCTATTTGGCCGGGAGCTTAGTCCCGATCCGCGCCATCTTGTTCGGGTCGATGAGGTCGACTCGTTGTAGTCTAGGACTGCTGGAGTCGATGAATTCCCGAGCTCTAGGAGCTCAACGGAGTTGATGACGGTAGTGGCGAGCTCGTAATGCTCACGGTCGCATGTGTAGGCGTGCGAAAAGGTGCTACCCACGGTGATGACGCCGTTTGGTCCCAGCATCTTCAACTTGAGGTAGGTGTAGTTGGGGATCGCCATGAACTTGGCATAGCATGGCCGCCCCAAGATGGTGTGGTAGGACCCCGGAAAGTCCACCACCTCGAAGGTGAGGATCTCCGAGTGGAAGTTGGCTCGATCGCCAAACGTGACGGGCAGGTCGTTCTGCCCGAGTGGGTATGCCTGCGTCCCTGGGATCACTCTGTTTAAGGGAGAGCTCACTGGGCGGAGCTTCGACCAGGGGATGCACATGGCGTCGAGGGTGTCGACGTAGAGAATATTGAGGCCGCTGCCTCCATCCATCAGCACCTTGGTGAGGTGCTTCTTGCGGACAATGGGGTCGATGACGAGCGGGTAGCGACCTAGTCGGGTGACGTGGGAAGGATGGTCTCTCTGATCAAAAGTGGTTGGGGAGTCCGACCAGCTTTGGAAAGAGGGGACGGTTGTCTCGACGACACATGCCTCTCTGTAGCATACTTTGTGCTGGTGCTTGGAGTGGATGGCGTCGGATCCCCCAAAGATCATGAGGTATTCCTCAGGGTCAGGGAAGCCTTCATTATCCTTGCCCGTCGTGCCTCCTTTCTTGGCCGCTGCCTCCTTGCCCTACCCTTCCTTTGGCTTGCCGGCCTGTCGTAGAAAGCGCTTGAGGAGCTCGCAGTCCTTGTAGAGGTGCTTGATGCGGTAGGCGTGATTAGTGCATGGACTCTCCATGAGCTTGTCAAAGTGGTCGGGCTGGCCCTGCTGGGGCTTCTTGCCCGCACGATCGGCTGCGGTGACCAAAGGTAGGTTTGTCCGATCGGCGCCAATCCTTCTTGTTCTTCTTGCCCCTTTGCGTGGAGGGGCCCTCGGCTTGGTCCTCGCGCTTGGCCTTGCCCTTGTCCCGACCGCCGCTGAAGACCGCCCCGACCGCCTCCTCCCTAGAGGCATGGTTCATGGAGATGTCGAGCAGGTCAGGGGTGGTACGGGGCTTTAGACAGCCGAGCTTGTGGATCAAGGACTCATAGGTTGTCCCAGAGAGGAACATGCTGATGACGTTCGCGTCAACGACATCAGGGAGTTGCACCATTTTGAGAACCTATGGATGTAATCCCGTAGGGACACATTGGGGTCCTGCTGGCAGCTCTTGAGGTCCCAGGAATTCCTAGGACGGACATATGCCCCTGGAAATTCCTGACGAAGACCCTCTTGAGATCTGCCCAGTCGTGGATGCTGTTAGGCGGGAGGAATTCGAGCCATGCTCGAACCCCCACACAGATGGAGTGGTATTGAATGATGAAGTGGTCATCATCCACTCCTCCGGCTCGGTAGGCGAGTCGAAAGTCTTCGAGCCATATACCGAGGTTCATTTCCTCGGTGTATCTGGCAATGTTGGTGGGTGGTCAGAAGCGCTATGGGAACAACGCTCTCTGGATGTGGTGACCAAAGTCCCGTGGCCCCGGGCCATCCGGGCTGGGGCTCCGGTCGTTTGGTCGGCCGCCATGCCTAGGATGCTTGTCCCGCACTCCCCGACGGTCAGGCCGGGGCCCGTGCCGCCTGCTCTCACCGCCACTTGATGGATGTCATCATCACGCCGGGCATGGCATTGATTGTTGATGACGCTGTGAGTGTCATGGTTCGGCCCGAGCTATTCACACATAGGTGGTCGGTGTAGAGCGGGCGGTAGGTTGAGCTATGGTGCAGCTGTGGCCTCCTACCCCACGCCCGGCAATTGTAGCGGTGAGTGGACATAGCGATTGGACTGGTGCGGCCCCATTCCCTCAGTGGGGCAAGAGGCCACGAGCCGATGTCGCGACGTGGAGGTCTCCGCCTATTGAACGGCAGTGGTCTCCACCAGTGCCCGGAGGTTCCGGTGGATTGCTTGCTCCTCGGGGTCAGCCGGCTCGGGGAGGTCGCGTAGAAGCATCGCCGTAGCAGTGTTCTTCTGGCCAACTTGAGCAAACTGAGGGGGGTCATTCCCTCAATCCAGGATGTTGTGCTGGACCTAACGGGCGCAACCCCGGGCGCCGCTCACCGGGTTACGCGCGTGTGGCGCAGCGTGCTATGCCGAGCGCTCCTACGTAGGTGGCGGCTGGCTCTACTACCTTTGTCGTAACTCCTCGTCGTGCTTCTACGCACGTGCGAGGGCCTCAGCATGAGGGTCCAGAGGGGTGTGAGTCTGTAGAGACTCCGCTACCACCAGTGACTGTCCCAGAGCATCCGCCATAGCGCACTCCTAGGACAGAGGGTGGCCAGGTGCCACGACGTCGTCGATGCTAGAGCCGTTGCTTTTGACCTCGTCATCTACGAGGTCGTGAAAGGAGACGGGAGCATA